AAGTGGGTGAAGGGAGACGTTGGACAGGGCAAGATATGACAAAATAATAATTTATAAATTATCAAGGGTTCATGAGGGATGAGGGAGCAGAGAGGGAGGGGAAAAAATGAGGAGCTGATGCCAGAGGCTAAAGTGGAGAGCAAATATTCTGAGAATGATGAGGGTAATGAATATACAAATGTGCTTTACACAATTAATGTATGTATGAATTGTGATAAACATTGTATGAGCCTCTAATAAAACAATTTTAAAAAGAGAGAGACAACATCTCAATAAAGCAAATAAGAATTAGAGGGGAAAAAAGGATTTTAGGATTAGATTTAAGGTTGACAGGGTTAAACTCAAATCTAGTTCTTATAGGGACTCAATGGACTATAATTTTATCCACGTTTAATGTAGCTGCTTGCAGATGATAAAATCAACAGTCTCTGAAAACAAACAAACAATATCTCTTTTCCTCCTTGTTACTGCTATTTAGGGGCCATCTGCTCCATCCCGGCTCATAGCAACCCTCTGTACAATAGAACAAAACCACACCGGTCCGGCACCATCTTCACAGTGATTACTATGCTTGAAACTTTGCTTGCATCACTGTGTCAATTGGTCTCCTCCAGGGTCTTCCTCCTTTTTTGCTGGACCTCTGAGTCACTAAGCATGATTTTTTTCCCAGGGAGTGGTCTCTCTGGACTACAGGTCCAAAGTGCATTCACGGTGCCATCCTGGTTTCTAAGGAGCACTCTGGCTCCACTTCTTCCAAGACAGATTTGTGTATTCTTCTGTCAGTCCCCAGTACTTTCAAGATTCTTGGCTAATATCGTAATTTGAATGCATCAGTGCTTTGTCCAGCTTCCTTACCACTGTCCAACGTTAATGTGCATATGAGGTGATTAAAGAGTTATGATCCAGATTAATGTATTCAACACAAATGATGTATAGCAGAACATAAATTTAATGTCAATTATATAATACCCTCAGAATACAAGACATGTATTCTCTTTCATATAAAATACTTGCATAAATTATAAGATGCGGAAATAAATGAAAGTATATTGACCTTTCATCTTCCATATTAGTCCTTCAATGGCTTTTATTTTAGCCATATCAAATTAGAGAAAACATTTTCAAGGATTGAATTGTGTGGCTCATGCCACTTAATGTGGTTTTTCCCCTTTCTTTCTAAAGTGCATGATTATTCTTGCAGATTAGTACTGCTAAGGAGATGAATAATTTATGAGATCTTAAGTCACTTTTAGTGTTTAATTACAGTTAACAATATATGGTAGATGCTAAATTATTAATAAAATGGCTGTTTATATGCCATTCCTGGATACTGTTCTATTTCAGAAATAGTTTCCAGAAAGGCTATTATATTGTCACCTATGTAAATGGAATTTTAAAGAGAATATATTCCAACATAAATATTGCTTATGAACTGAAATAGTCATAGATGTTTAGAATTAGGGCAAACTGACTAAAGAGCCAAGGAAAGAAAAAAATAGAATTAACAATAGAAAGTGATACATTATCAGGGTATGTAAATATTGAGACTCATTTAATAATAAACGTATAATTATTGCAAAAACAAAAAAAATGAATTTTGATTTATAGAAGCCTATACAGGCCATCCCCAGATTAAAAAGGAGTTTCATTCCTATGGTGGTCTTTAAGTTGAATGTGTACGTTAAGTTGGAACAGCTAGACATTATTCATATCTAAAGTCAGTTAGTCGTATGCTTGTCTTCGTATATAGTGTACCTTTCTATCAGACAGCCCTAGTGACACAATGGTTACACACGTGGTATAGCTTACTCAAACACCAGCAGTCAAATTCAAATTCACTGGCTGCAATGGAAAGAGCCATTGCACTTGACTGCCAAAAAAATTTGCAGCCTTGGAAACTTATGGGGCAGTTCTACTTTGTCCTATGCATTGCAATGGGCTCAATAACATCGAGTAATTTTCTATGTATATATGCTAAAAAAAAAAAAAAACTTTAAAGAAAAGTTTCCAGATACTCTAAAACCTATCTAACATAATAATACAGCAATGACAATAAAGCTTGGATGTATGTCACAAAGTAGGGTCCATTTGCTGTTATGAACTATTGCACGTACTTTGAATTTGTCTACTATAGATTTTGCGTGGGTTGCTTCCTAACTCGGTGCATGTGTTCGAATCAGACATCTGTAACCTGAAGACTGCCTGAAGTCACAAAGGAAGTACATTTACCTGGAAAATGGTACGGAGGGTCACAGAGAAGGACCATTCCTTTTCCTTCTTTGACTCGCACCTCAGGACGTTCCTCGGGTGGAAATGGATCAAGGTCTAATTAGGAAAGGAAAGAGACGGCATTTATTTTCAGGCCAGGAGGAAGAGCAACATTCATTAAGTTTTACCCGTCAGCATTTAACTTATTTTTACCAATGGTACGTCTCAGCCTCAGAGTGAAGCCTCCGACAGTCAATCAGTTGTTCTACGTTGAGGTTTGCATACACGGGAGAAATTCACTGGTGAACGTAAACCCTATGGATATTGACAGGGTCCTGCTTAATGTTCTGACATCCTAGAGATTAATAATTCTGATTTAGGAAGAATCTCCATAAGGCTATCTCGAAATAGAATGAACTCAGACAAAACCGGACATCTATCAAACAAAGTAATGCTAAAGAACCATACTCATTAGCAGGCGATATAGTATATTCATCCCCAAGAGAGGACTTGGCTGTTAGAAAAACACATGGTAAAAAATGGGGTTCAGGTGGGAAATTTCAAGGTAGTCAATCTCTCCTTTTCCAATTCCATGTTTTCCTTCCTTTACTCAACTATGTATTGGAAATTCCCATTTTGTGTGATTCCTTGATCCTCTACTATGTCACTGTTGATTTGTTTGACTGAGGAGGATTGTGTTTTAGTCCTGCTTCTCCCCTGTCCATATTTATGATCAACCCTCCCACTGTACCGTCTAGATTTGGCTCCTCTTAACAGATCGCACTCCTCTGAAAGAACATCTGTTCTAATGGCTGTCTTTTTGCCAAACGCAAACCAAACTCTCTCACAGCGAATCCATGCGGACTCCTAGTGACCCCCCTGTGGGCTTCCTAGAATGTAACTGTTTACAGGAGTAGAAAACCCAGTCTTTCCCCCAAGTTTTGAATGTGGAGTTTTCCAACTGCCCACCCTGTGGGTCACAGTCCAATGCATAAACACAACACCACCAGGGCCCCCTTCAAATCCCTACTTCTGGTCTGATGCTGCAGTTGAATGCTGCTCCTTCACCTCAGATGCCTCCTTGACTTTTTGCCTGGGACGGCTTATGCACTCATAACCACTGCAATGTGCAATAACAACTTAAATCCCCTGGATCCTTGAAATTGGTTTTACTTCCTCCTACTCCATTCCGAGTGAGAGAAGCATACTTCTGCCCTTTAACCAGACCTTACTTGAAAACCAAAATATGTAGTATCTTTTTTGCTTCAGTGTAATGTAATAGGTCAAGTATGTCTTCAAGGATTTTCAGTCCTATCGACGAGCTTGCCTCTGCCTCCCTCCCTCCTGGTGAAGCACTCCCTGAAAGGTCTTTTTAAAATATCCTTTTCAATCTAAAGCCTACTCTGTAAAGTATTTCCATGCTAATTTATAAAATCACATACTAGAGATCGCCCAATGTACACATTGCCTTCAGAACCATGTCTTTCAGGGTTCCTCAAACTAGTTTGCACTGGTTCCCTCCTACAGAGGGAGTATTAATTCAAAATAATTGAATTGATTACTTCAATGTCCTCCAACAAGAGAAAGTAATATCAAGCAACATGGTTTTCTGAGGCAGGGTTTAAGCTTCGGAGAGCCACAAGCGGTTACATTGCAATAGGTAAGATATTTCCTCCCTCCAAGAACAGATTTTTATCCCACTGAAGGTGATATTTCAATGGAAAACACATGGGTTAGTACTTCCGTTGATACTCGATTTTTTGTTGTTGTGTTTTTGAACTTTTTTTTTATTGTGAAGTGGGTGTCAGTTGGTGGAGCAGGTCAATCAGCTCTGCATTCAGCAACACCCACACATTATGATGCATCCTCCCCATACCATCACTTACCATACTCCTCCCTGGGTGTCCGGTTCCATTCTTTCTTCATTCCTGACTCTTCTGCACTGTGTTTTTGGGTATATGCTGCCCTTCTGACCTTCAATAACTGACCCTTCTGAGGCATGTGTACCTCACTAGTGTCCTTGTTCCTTTTAGACATTTGTTGTGCAGTTGAGTTTTTAGTGAGCCATTTAGGGAGCCTTTGGGATATGCCTAGTTTACCTTACAACATTATCTTTCACTATTTCAAATAGATGCAAAATACCTCTCATGATATTTTGCTTTCTAAAAAGTTTGCTGCACTATGCAATTAAGGCCTACTCATATGATAAGACCTAAATCCTTCACAGAGCCTTCTCATATTTCTTCCCTCTGGATTTTCTTCTTATGACAGCATTTATTGATATCAACTTTAAAGGTCAAACTTTCTTGTATTTTAAGTTAAATATTTCATGAGTAAATAACTTATATCACTACCAGCAAACTCGAACCTGTTCTGGCAAAATATCATATCTGCTTTAATATCCTACACAATAAGCACTCAGGAAAGTTCATTGGCATGATGAGGCAAAAGAGTCGATTGTCACTAAGCATTGTAAAGGAAAACAAAATCCAAAAGGAGTAGGAGACTGCAAATTCATTCTAACGTATGTAGATGGTTATCAATAACTAAAACACTTTAAATTCTTAATGATGGGGGGAGTGCGGAGTGGAGATCCAAAGCCCATTAGTAGGCCACTGGAGATCCCCTTGCAGAGGGGTCTAGGGGAGGAGATGAGCCAGTCACGGTGCGATGTAACAATGATGAGAAATACAACCTTCCTCTAGTTCCTAAAGGTTTCCTCCCCGCTCCCACTACCATGACTCGAATTCTATCTTGCAAGACTGGCTAGACCAGAGGAGGTACACTGGTACAGATAGGAACTGAAAATACAGGGAATCCAGGATGGATGAGCCCTATAGGACCAGTGGTGTGAGTGGTGATACTGGGAGGGTAAAGGGAGAATGGGTAGGGAAGAGGGAACCGATTACATGGAACTGTGTGTGACCTCCTCCCTGGGGGACATACAACCGAAAAGTGGATGAAGGGAGACGTCGGACAGGGCAAGATATGACAAAATACCCATTTATAAACTATCAAGGGCTCATGAGGGGGGGGGAGCGGGGAGGGAGGGGAAAAATGAGGACCTGATGTCGGGGGTTTAAGTGGAGAGAAAATGTTTTGAGAAACGATGTACAAATGCACTTTACACAATTGATGTGTGTATGGATTGGGATAACAGTTGTATGAGCCCCTAATAAAATGTTAATAAAAAAAAAATTCTTAATTCACTTGAATAAACTTGCCCCTTTAAAAGTAACAATTACTTACAGCCAAAGCTTAAGGTTGCTTCAATGCTTCTGACCATGCCATAGTTATTCGATGCTAAACAGTAGTATATCCCAGCATCTTTCTGCTTGTCTGGATTATTGATGACAAGATTTCCTCCCACCATGCTGTACCGATCACTTGTCAGATCAATATCCCCATTATTCATCCTCCATCTATGAGGAAAAGAAATGAATGTCATCTTAAAGGCCACAAGGCCTGGAAACAGCATATGGGCAATCATGGTTCTGAAATAATATAGGTTCCACTCCATTTACAAGTCAGGTGATTAATTGATGGCTCAGGGTGATATGTCTTCACACTCTATAATTCTGCATCCCTGAGATCTTGATTTATAATTTACCTCAGACACATAAAGGTAAAGTAGATGGCATATTCCCTCCCTTTTTTCATAATGTATCACAAAATACAAATATTCCATTGGGTTTTGACCCATAAATTTTTGTGTGTATGAACAATTATACATGGTTTAGAAATGATAATCAACGATGTACTAGTTACATGAACATATAGTTCTTTATCTAAAATATCAAAATCAATATAACATAAATAAAATATAATGTTTCAATATGATACTAAATATCCAAGTAGCTTTCAATAAAGTTGACAAAAACCCATAAACCAGTAAACAGCACACTGACCACTAGAGGTCGGTCACACAACTTGGAAACAGTCAATGAGCTCTGCTGTTACAAATCACAAATATTCGGGAACATCACGATTTTCCTCAGCTTTGTGTTAGTTTTCCCTTGTGCCTTTTCACATTACTCAGGGATTATTCTTGTTAAATGGATTCCTCCCATCCCCCATAACACAGGTCCAAAGCGATGTAGGTGAGATATGTTGCAGGTAATCAGATCATTGATTGTTAGAAAGGATATTATAAATAAAGTCACTAGAAATGGGCTCCAATTTCTCTGGTGAGACGGGAAGGATAAATGCATATAATGGATTCCAATAAAGATGACCAACTTCAGGATTTTATCAGCATTTTGGTCGCGTGTTTTATTTTTAAGGTTTGATGAATGTCCTAATGACAGCTCTGCTCACTGCCTGGCACATTGGTGATCAGGAGAAGAATCTTCCTAAAATAGAACATATTTTATTGAAGAAAAATTGTTGGGAAAGTCTCAGTTTTAATATTTTACAGTATAGATGATCATTTGAAGGGAAATACAGAAAACAGTACGTTTTTGCATTTTCAAAACCTACCAAATTCCCACAGAATATCCCCTCCCCACAAATAATGACCACATCGCTTCTGAGGGAACCAGCCGATATTAAGTTGCTTGTCCAGGCAGGGCATGTTTTGTTGTGCAGTTCCAATGGCGGGGTGGGGGGGCGGCATATAAAACAGTACATTTACTCCAAGTTTTTATGTGTTACCTTAATGTCTTCCCAATGGATCGGATTCTGCTTTTGCTGTCATTTAGTTATTCCATTTTGGTATGTTTGGGGAAATTCACTATTTATTTTTAGGATTAAGTACAGTTTATATTGTAATTTTTATGACTATGGGGCTTGGGCAAGATCATGTAAAGAGCTATAATCACAAAACGGATTAAGTGGGAATTGAAGTCCCCTGCTGGATCTCTTAGGATATTATCACAAATACCAAATTATCACAGGATATACTACAAATGTAAAACTACCAAGTGAATGGCAAACTGCATTACTAAGATTAGTTGAGCTTGTCCTGAATATTAAGGGTATTCAATTTTTATTTTTTATTTATTTTAAACAGTTTGATTGGAACACAATCCACATAGCCTACAATTCAATAGTTCAATCATATCAAGAAGAGTTGTACAATCATTACCACAATGAATTTTAGAACATTTTTGTCTTTCTTGTACTGCTTGTTATTAGCTCCCCATACCACTCCACCACCGCCCCCAACCTCCCCTGCTATATCACCCAGAAACCATTAATCCAGTTTGTCTCTATACAGTCACCCATCCTAGACTTCATATACTGGAAAACATATGAAAACAGAAAAACAAAAGTTAACAACAGTAACAAAATAAAATAGAGAAAATTCTCATGAGAAAATACTAAGAATTAGAGCAACTTTAAAATGGTCCAAAGGAAAGCAAGGATAAGGTGCCCCACCTGCCCTCATCTACATGCCAATCCAATCTGCAGGCCATTCACATCCGTGGTCTGTGTCCAGAGGGAATTCACTGGAAGCTTGATCCACGTAGGTCTATTTCCCTCTTACTTTTTATAAAAAAGCGAATCAACATTTAAATGGCTCAAAAAGGGAGTCAACTATAAGACATTACATTTTTACCTAACTATATATCTACTATAAGTGTCTCTATGATACTCTCTCTGTAAAGAGCCCCGGTGGCACAGTGGTTACAAGCTGGGCTGCTAACTACAAGGTCAGCAGTTTGAAACCACCTGCAGCTCCAAGGACCTTTCTACTCCCATAAAGTGTTACAGTCTCAAACCCCATGGGCAATTCTACCCTGTCAAAAGGTATTCACTAGAAGCTCAATCTATGCGTGGACTCTGCACATGGATTTTGGGTAAAAGCATCTTAAAAAAGTCAAGCGTTCCTGTTTATCAAATTGGCTGTACTATGAGATGGACTTCGTTGGCTGTCAAAAACAGGCTGCTTTGATAGCAGAACGAAAGATCTACTTCTTTCCTCCAGCTCTGTACATCAGTGTGAGACTGCTCAGGACAAACATGCCCTGGGAACCTCAGTGCTTAGGTAATTTTGAGAAGTTTGTGGTGCTACATTTACCCGGAACAACTTTCCTTCTTCCTGGGGCTGTCCTGGGAAAGGATAGAACACTGAGAAGAAGCAGCCTCCAAGACAGCCCAGGAGAATCTCTCAGGTTCCATCTACGAAGGTGAAAGTCAGAGTGCCACAGAATAACGTCACTTCCTCTAAGTGGATCTGATTCCATCTTGGATGTCACGTAAAGAATAAGCAATACTGAAATGGCTTTTGAGATTCTATCAACCTTTCTAGATATAGAAACGTGTTGTTGTTAAGTTTATTCCACAATAAGCAAGCTCACAGAACACAGCAACCTGCCAGGACAGAGATTTCTGTATGGCAACCTCTGTCTCCATCAGAGGAGCTGGTAGGTTTGCACCGACAGCATTTCAGGCAGCAGCGGAGTACTTCACCACCACTGCATCACCCTGGCTATTTATACATATGCATAATAAACACACATCGACAGTGAAATGTATCTACACTATTTTGGAGTAACTAAATATGTTTCTGTCCTGAATCTGTGATTGATTATTTCTTAAGCAAGCCCATTTACTTCTTACTTAGATTCTACTCCTGTAAAATTATGTGCTTGGATTAGATCTCCCCTACATTGTCTATTAGTTATACTATACCCTGGCCATGACTATACGTATGCACTCTTAAAACCTATAACTTAGCTTCTAGATAGAAATAAATCCATTCCATCAATGATTTTCAAAACAAAAGTGTTATTTATAATTGATAAAAATATCTGCTTACATGGGCCTCCCATGCATGAAATTGAAATAATAAATCAAATTTCAAAGGATGGTGACTTTGAATACAAATTTATATTGTATTTTGAGAAATAATTTTCTAATAGCCAGAGGAAATAAAATTAGTAATTAGAATTAAATGGAGTGAGGTGATGGTGGAAATCTTGTCTTTGGTAATCTTTTGTAACCATGATTTCTTTTTCTATCTAGAAATCTACTATTAAAATTAACCTTCTTGAGCGACAACCTTCAATTAATTCAGAAGACATTAACACACCAGAGCCTCAATTTCCTCATCAATCACTTTCTTTGTCTTCATGTTACTATTTTCATGTAAGTTTTAAAGTCATTGACATTTGGTTCATTTCTAAAATCTTAGTCAAGGGTGTACTTTTCTGAACATTTGAAGCAAGGAAGTCCATTGTCTACTTTTGAAAAGTGTCAACCAACAATATAGACCAAGATATGTTTCTACAGATTATCTTGAGTGTAGGGACAATTTAGAATTGTCTATTTTATACAATATAGATTTGATACTACTGAAAAAGTGGTGTTTTCTAGAAGGATGAATGCAAGCACATTGAATACAGTTATTATATACACATGTGTGAATTCGTGTGAATCCTGTGTGCTTTCCATCATCTGGAGATCTGAAAGGTGCCCTGGTGGTACGGTGGTCCAAGAATTTGGCTGCTGACTAAACACTCTGCTATTGAAACCTCTTGGAAAACAATGTGGCAGTCACGCCTGCTTTTGTAAAGTCTGACCGCCTTGCATACCTTATTGTGCAGCTCTACTGTCCCGCAGGGTTGCTGTGAGTTGGAATTGATTTCATAGCTATAGGTTTGATTTCATGGATTTATAGGTATGAGTCATTAAAATCAATGCATATAATATTTCTTCCCCCTCAAATCTACATTTTTTAATTTGCATGATTTTTATATAACCTTTGCATACCTATAGGAGCCCTGGTAGCATAGTGGTGACGTGTTGGGCTGCTAACTGCAAAGCGAGCAGTTTGAAGCCACCAGTTTCTACTTGGGAGAAAACCAGGACTTGCTACCGCCACAGGGAGTTCTACTCTGGCCTATCAGGTCGCCCTGAGTGGGCATGTACGCCAAGGCAGGTGCATCCTTCATAATAGAATCTCCATTTGACGGTTTGTAAATGAACAGTGTCAAATGCCTCATGGCTGTGCAGGAGTTAATAGTAAATGAGTTAATTGCATATGCTCAAGAAAGCAGGTTATTTATTTGTCTATTAGACAGCTTTTCTTCTTTACGGGTGCTTTGACCATGTTTTTGTTAAGGCCCCATTGTTTGTGAGTATCTTTGTCAGTTGTTCTTTTCTATCAAGAGAGAGTCCTAAAGGTCGGTTTGTGACCCTCAGTCAGTGGCCCATGTGAGGAGAACAGGGAGGTGCGTTACTTGTAAACCGGGAAAGGGCTGGCTCGGGCCCGACAGCTGAGGGAAACTTTTCCTTCCGGTGATTCCTCGGGGTAAACAGTATTAATTGGTTGCTCTTCAAAAATTGGTCCAAATCCTTTGTCTTCCTCAGACACTGTAAGATAAAAATAAAATACTTTTACTATGTGTTTTATAAATTCGAGAACATTTGGACATATTGAAAAAGCTCCTTGAAACAAAAGTCTGAAAAACTGAATCTCAATTTTCATTCAAAACATGGGTTACTTTCCTCCATGGCTCTTCCAGTTTCTTCTTTTAAGATACACTCAGTCTCTTCATAAAATTCCCCTCTGCTCAATTCCTATCAGCGCCCCCCACACCCCCGCAAAGTATCTTGTGTTCAGCCATGTACACTTGCTTGTTGTTCTTCAAACAAGCCATGTTTACATGAATATGCTCTTTTATACATACTGTTCCTCTTCCTGACCCCCCGACATTTCTTCTGTGTCCAGCATGTGCGGCCCTTTATGAGCTTCTCTTAGAGAGCCACTTGTGACTCCTCCTGGCTTTAACCTTTTCCTATGGTCCCTTAATTCTCTCTATAGGGCATGGTACTTAAACTCCTATTATGCTCATGGCTGTAGCTTTCTCTTCTACTACGTTGCAAATGCTTGGGCACAGATTGATTTGTGTGCCACTGTCTTGCTAATTACCTATAGTTTGGAACAAGCTGGGTGCCAAATAAATAGATAGGTCAGTTCCTTGCTCCTGGAGGAAGACTAGCTCCTTTCTTGAATCAGCTCTTATTCATTTATTTCCAAAGCTTGTGATGATCACTGGTACTGAGAAACATCTAAATCTATCGATAAACACCTAACAGAGAAATGAGACCCATCACAAATATCTGTCCACATTGGCAAGCTGCTGCTCCTGACCACCTCGCCCCCTGGACGGAGAGGGACCTCGAGCTAAAATGAGCAGTAGAGAACCACTCCCATGTCATCAGCCTGAGAGCATTTACAGAGCAAACTAAAATCCTATGTGCCCAAATGAACAGGTAATGACTGGGAGGGGGCAGGGGGAGACAGAAAGAGTGCGGCAGTCTTACATAGGGGTCAGTGGAAAAACCCAGCTACATTAAAGTCTTGGTCCACTGATCCAAAAATCCTTCCAAGAGAAAATTCAAGACGATTGTCATGTAGACATTTTGTCTTCTCTCACTTCAACCTTCCTAACAACCCTGTAGACTCGCCGAGAGTTGGAATCAACTTGATGGCAGTGCTACTATTCTGTGTGTTTTTTAATGTCCACCTTAATGACGAAAGCCTCATCCCAGCTTCCTTTGGCAGATAGTTCCATCGTGTCATTTGAATCTCGCCTCAGAGAAGCAAATATACAAAAACCAAAGGTCATCAGTGGATGTGAGGTGAGAGTGTGTGCTTAGGGGATGTTGGGTTTATACTAATGGAAGCAGACTAATCTGGAAAATAAAAGTGAGAATGGTGGCATAACTGGAAGAATGCAAACAATATTACAGAATCTGACATTTAGAAACTATTGAGTTGCCATATGTTTTGTGAATGTGTACATATTCTCACCACGGTTTTAAAAAAAAGTATTATTAAACAGCGTGCCTTTGAGAAAAGTACTTAATCCTTCCAAGGCTCACTATCTTATTTTATAAGAATCTATCACATAGGTTTATTTTGAGAAATCTTTTGAGATAATGTATGTGTAGTAGTGTCCCTGTCAGAAGTGTTGATTTTGCCAATATTCTCATGAGTTTATCAGTTCTTTACGTTTTAAATTTATGTATATCAAAGCATAAAATAACCACAGAGATATAAAAACCAGAAGTGAAGTTTTATTTACTTTTATAGATGCAATACTATGTTGGTTTTGTGTCATTTATGGGTACTCAATACACTCTTCTTACATAAATAGAGGGTTAACAGAATCCATAAGCTGTTTCTCACAGTGCGAATAAAGCATTAAGTTCTTGACACTGAAAATCTTTCAAAGTCAGATGATTTCATTTTAGTTCGAATTTGCTAAGATGATCATTCAAAAGTTTGCAAGTAACAATCATATTCTATAACCACAAAAAAGAGATTTCAGATAGCAAATACATTGATGGGTCAGAATAAAGCAAACAGGGCCTTAGCTCAGCTTCAGCATTGCAGTTTAATTCTTGTTGGTTTATACAAGCCATTCGGTTGTTTAAAATACTGATTTTAAATTTGAATTATGTCCAACTAAAATGTTTTGAAAATCCTAAATTCTATCCAGGCCTGTGGTTATAAATCCAGTTTGGGGAAAGGGTTAGCCTTGTTTTGTTAATGAGGCAGGATTAGTATAGGGGACATGCTGAGTCAGCCTCTTCTGAGACTGACTCATAAAATGGTCAACAAACAAGGAGAGAGCGAGAGCAAGAGCGAGAGCGAGAGCGAGAGAGAGAGAGAGAGAGAGAGAGAGAGAGAGAGAGACAGAGAGAAAGAGAGAGACCACCAGGAGGATCACGTGGAGATCACCAAGAAGCGGAGGAACAAGAACCCTCCCCTCGAGCCCACACAGAGCAAAAGCTTTCTCTTGGATCTAATGTTCTGAATTTGGACTTGCATCATCCTCAAAGGCGAAAAAGTAGATTTCTGTTTTTAAAGCCACCTATTTGTGGCATTTCTGTTATAGCAGCACTAGGTAATTAAGAAAATTAACTTCTTCATTTCAGAAAGAAAGAGTAAGTGTCCTAAGGTCCGTTGGACTTACGAAACTTCTAACAAAGCATGATGGCGAGGCGCTCACAGGGGCTCTATGCTATCGATTTTAGAAGCTTGTTCTGATAGTCTCTAGTTCCATATTCTTATTGGGCTGAAATACAAACGGGGCTTTCTACTGTGCTTCTAATGCTTCTCTTGATCAGGACCAATATGTTCTGTCCTTTCAGAACATAACAATGTGCTTGGGGAAAATAAGGAAGGAATCCAACATCCCTGATAACTTAGAATTTCATTTTGCAGGCAGGGTCTGGATTTTTCAATCTCTGACCCCAAAACGACCGTCTTTATCTACGGTTCAGTCATATGTCATGCTTCTTTCCATATGACCCTTCTTTACATTTCTAGGGTCTCTCTATTGCATAATTTTCTGACTGCGGCCCCTTAGATGAGAATGCCTGCCTTTCTAGAGATCCTGTTCTTTCCAATTTCACATAATCTGGAAAGTATGAGTTCTATGGGGTAAAAGCAATGGTACTTTGAGGAGATTCTAAGGAATGAGATGAAACAAAATGGGTTCTGTTTGTGTGTAAAACTGGTAAATAGAAAACAAATGATGTGCTGAGAAACCCATCACCCAATTCATAACAAAAGTTTTAGAAAATAACTTTTATCAATATATAACAGATTCTCTTCTTGACAATTATTGCAATTCACACCTTACCTTCTTTTTAATGATTATGTTTGTGTGAAATGTTTGAAGCATTTCTAAAAATAAAAATGTTAATAGGCAAAATTTTTAGAAAACAATACTGTTCTGGGGATTCTGAAGCTCATAATTATCTTCTAATTACATTATACTTATAATCACAAGCCGGATGATGATGCCATTATTATGAATGGAGAGTTGATGCAATTATGCCTATAATTTAAACATAAACTATTGATTTCTGCTGGACTGGATTTTGTGTTTCCATTTTCATCAATAGGATAAAAATCCCACACACAGAGCCATCTCAAGGACTAGGGTTTGATAAACTATAGGTGTTTTCTGTATTTTGTTTCGTCAATGATGTAATTCTAAACTTGGGTATAGTGATTATAAAAAATTAGCACATGATCCATGAATGAAAAGATCTATGTTAGACTTAATCGCCCCAAAATGAAGCACTTTTAAAAGAATCTCAGGTCTTTGAGGTGGGGGCTATTCTTTTGGCCTTTTTTGTTGTTATTGCTGATAATGAAATTTATTTATTTATTTTTTTAGTTTATTTTATTGATTTTTTAATAGTTTTATTAGGGGCTCATACAACTCTTATCACAACCTATACATATATCAATTGTGTAAAGCATATTTGTACATTCATTGCCCTCATCACTCTCAAAACATTTGCTCTCTACTTAAGCCCCTGGCATCAGCTCTTCTTTTTTCCCCCTCCCTCCCCGCTGCCCCCTCCCTTTTATAGAGAACCTTTCAAATCACCCAGAGCCCTGGTAGCACAGTGGCTAACTCAGAGACTGGTGTTCAAACCCACTAGTCCTTCTTCAGTAAAAATATGCGGCAGTCTACTTCCTTAACGTCCCGGATGAGTGGGAAACCCTACGGGACAGTGCTACTCAATCCTACAAGTTGCTATGAATCAAAACTGATGAGTTCGGGGAGATTTTGTTGTTGTTGCCAAGTCTATATATGTCTCTTTTAATAATGGGGAATATTATGTGCTGACTTATAACTTCATAACATTTGAACTCATTTCAAGAGGTTTACTGGTGCATTCCATAAAGTACTACAAGCATTATTGTACTTTAAATGTAGAAATAGGCACTCATGATCTGATTAGCCTTTGCTTCAATAATGCCCTCTGGCAATGTGATTATCAGACGAGTCATAATCCCAAATTCTCAATTTAATTAGCTTAATGAAAGGACTAGTTTCACCAGGCTATTGAGTTATGTTCATTCATAATTACCTTGACTGTTAAAAGTTCTGTGTCAAAGATGGATTCACATCAGCATACATATTTGTAGAGCTGTACACACCTTGATTAAAAGCTTGCCTTACATACTGATATTGTTAGTATTTTTTATTTTTAAGTTATTTACTTTTGAGAAAATTTTTGGTCAGCTTTATTTTAAAAAACTGAGGCTACGTTTTAATTAGTTTCTTTATTTTGATCAGCTGTATTAAAAATAACCTTATTTTCACTAGAGCAAGCGGCCTATCCTTTACTGCGGACAACTGGGACAAATCGTTGCTAGGCAACCATCTAGATTGTGGATTGAACTAATGTTAATAGGCTGAACCGGATAATAGTGTGCCCCATACTATTTTTCTTCTCAGTGAAAAATACTTTTCATAAACTACATACATATATTTCCTAGGATTTCACTATCAGTTGTTCTTTATAGAAACATACATTGAAATATTTTAGGATAAAAT